CTGCTGATCCATGGAACTGCCTGTCACTTTTCTGGGGGGGGGGAGGGGAAACAAAGGGAGCCATAAACCATGAGGAAAACTACATCCTCACTCCCCATTCCAGCATGTCCCCAATGGCCCCCTCCCTCAAGGGAGGAAGAGGGCTCACCCATCAACTGCCAGCACCCCCCTCAGCCAGCCCTACCTCACCAGCAGGCATCCAAGTCACTCCCTCATCCTTCCCTCAATGCCCACTGCCATTAAAAGATTTAAAATTTTGGCCTCATTTCCAAAGCAGCCAATTGCTGCTTAACTGTTGGGTCATCCCACCATCTGATTGGGTGCAGGGGACAGAGGGAGGTGGGAAAGAGGTTGGGAATATACCCATGATGATCATGTGACCTGAACTGATTGTGGTGCCACAACAGCGCAGCATTGTTGAAGCGGCCACAAATTTCTCAAATTTCAATCCCACAAGAATAATGGGTCCAGGATTTTGGACACATTTCATAAGTTAGCCCATTTGAGGTATCTTGGTTCAAAAATTGTTGCCCTCTGATGCACTGTTTCGCCCAGTTGAAAGTTACAGACAAGAGAGTTTTAGTAGTATATAGATGACTATTTCATACAGGTTTAGCCCAAGAGATTTCACTGGCAGTACAGAAGTTATTACTTACCCTTTCCATGTAGTTAAACCAGTAGGATTGGAAGTTGAATGCTATTAATGATGGTTATGTAGTAGTCTTCTCCACCTCCACACAGAGAATAGTTTAGCTTGTGGAATACAAGGAAGGCCAATTGGTGTCTAGCTCTTATTATCAACACAAGGGAAGGACCAGAGGACTTATGTGGAATACCTGGAGAGTGCCATCTCTGCTCATCCAGTTTTTCCAACTGTCTTCTATGTTTTCAGCAGTCTGACTCTATAGTAAGGTAGCCTCTTAGAACTATATAACTATTTAATTATAATAAGCTATCATTGTGTAGATTTGTCATGAAGATGTGCAAATTGGGAAAAATGGTATTTGCAAATACCTTCAAATAAACTTCAAGTAAACAAAATGGAAAAAGCTTCTGTAAGAAAGAAGAATGCAGAAATTAAAGGACTAAATCAATATTGAAAGGGTCAGATTTAGAAAAGAACACAACAGATATAGAATTATAGGAACATAATATAACTATGTTAACAACACTGGCATACTACAGTGGTTTTTCTCCATCTGATACTAGTTTCCAGGCATACTTTGAGCAATCTGATCTTTTTTCAAAAAAAGATATAGAGATTTTCACTCTTTATCATAACATCAACTTTGCTGTGAATGTTTAATGTTTACTTTATCCATGATGGTTCAAATTCAGAATCAGCTTTTTAAAAATATCTGAAGTAAAAATATCTGAAGATTCCAGATATCCAATAACTTTTATTACTATGAAAGAAATTATTATTATTAAAAATAGTAATTTTTTTGACCTGATGTTGTTTTCTGATAAATAATAGAACTTATCTCATTTTGTAGGTAACTATGGCCAACATTGGAATAAGTGAAAATAGCTCCTGGGAATCCTGTGAAACTATTCTTTTTGGTCTTCGAATGGCAACATGGAATCAAATATTAGATCCATGGGTATATATTCTTTTGAGAAAAGCCGTTCTTAAAAAACTGTATGAGATTGCTAGGAGATGTTGTGGAGTACACCTCATTAATTTGCATACATGGGAACTCAGCTCCATTAAAAATTCTTTAAAAGTGGCAGCAATTTCAGATTCGCCAATTAATTCCAAGCTGACAAACCAACAGCTACTCAATACAACAGTGCCATAAAGTGAAACATAGAGAATCGTGAAAGTAAAAGGTTATGATTGTTGTATACTTTGAAACTGATAGAACCTGAGAAGGGGCTCCAATTCTAGATATGCTGTAATTTGGAGCTGCTATTAGAAGTTGTTTGCCTTGTGAATATAAAGAATCCTCTTTATGGGACATACCCATCCATATCTAGTGCCAAATTTCAGGAATTTGTAAAACAGAAAAAGGGAAGCAATGATTAATAAATTATTATACTTAAAATTACTAAATATAGTTTTTTTAAAAAAAAACCTTCATAAAGATAAACTGACATGATGTTGGCAGCTCTGAAATAGTTTTGAATGAAGTAAAGCTCTCAGTGTTTAGGTTTTATTTTTAAATGAAACATAAAATAAATCCAAGTTCTGTTGGTTTCAAATGTGTTTAAGGAAGAGTTTATCAGTGCTATTAAAATAGATTGTACTTCAAAATGTTTAGCTCTGTTGGATTTGATGACAATATGCATGCATATGTGACACAATTTAGAGAATGATGTGTCTAAACTTCACAAACTCTTCAGAAGGAATATTTACTTTATAGTTCAAATGTAGCAGGACTATTTTTGTGGGGAAGAATGAAACCTGATAGGCATCAGGGCAAGCATGAAAAATTAAATGATTAAATATCTTACTGTTGAATGTTACAATGGAATGTGCAATTAAATTATGTAATAAGCATTAATTTTGAAAATGTACCTTGTCTTGCTAGTATAAAGCTTTTACTGTGTCTTGCAAATATTTCATCTAAACCTTACAAAAGGGGTGGAATGTTGTTTCCTAAATGAAATAACTTGCATCTTACATATTGGACTTTCTGAGCAACTTAGAAAGAAATGTACAGGAATCATTATAATACAATAAATTAACTGTGTGTTGTGGAAATTCTACCCTACAACATTAATGATTACTAATTCATTGGATGTTATAGTAGACTGATATTTTTAATTATAGTTATATGATTATACAATTATTTTCAAAGTATTGTGAATGTTTAAGCCTACAGTCAATTCACATGTATGTATAGAAAAGTTGTATGGTATATATAGTATTATATGCGAAATGTTAATTTAGGTTCAGTTTAACTGTTATATAATATTTCATATTGTACTTTGCAGACTCATCTTATTAGCATAAACGTGAAAGGCAAAATACTTGTTGGTTTTATTGAAAGTAGAGTCAAGCAACATTAATGTGAGGATTACATCATTCTTGGTTTGATCCAAATAAAAGAGCGCATTGCATCTGAGACAGAACATTTAGTCTAAACAGTAATATTTCATATTAAACATAAAAGAAATTAAATATGCACAATAAACTGAATTTGCAGTACACAAAGGATTAAAAGAAAGCTTTTAATACAAATTGATTAATGTAAATGCTGATAAAATTAACATACATACTTATAAATACAGATTCTTAATAAGAATATATTTATGTACATTCTCTCTCTCTCTCTCTCAATCTCTCTCTCTCTCATAAAGCTCAGCCGTAAATTGTTGGGAGTTAATACCATTTCATTGTTTTATGTAGTAACATCACAGTTTTGTATAAAATGTCTGCATAAATTTGGTAACGTTCCTGGGATCTCAGGCAATTAAGTGCCTAGGATTTTTTCCTGACTTGCATATGTCAGAACTGTCTTTAAAAAACAAAACAAAACAGGCAAAGATACTTAAAGCAGATTTTTTTTTTTACAAAATGAAATCAGTGTGTTAAGGGATACTAGTGCTGCTATTGCTATTACCACTAGTCTAAAATATTTTATTAGCACTGTTTATGTCTACATGCTGTAGAGATAAAATATATGATGTCATCCAAAGAATTATGGGCTGTGTTAGGTATACAAGACAGAAATAAAGAGAAAATGCACTTGATTAACAGATTTTCAAGTTTAGGCCTGTACAACTTCTGACCTACCATATTGAATGTACTCTGTCAGTTACTTATTGCAGCCTGCCAAGTATTTCTACTTTAATGATGCAGAAAAAGATCTGAACTGTTGGAGTATAAGGCTGGTGAAAGGTGTTTGCCTTGGTAATTCATAAACTGCAGGTGTGACAGTGATAGACTAATCAAGTGTTATGATTAGAAGAATGAAGAAATATATTCATGTGGTGGATGTATTCTATATGAATCATTTTGTTATCACTTACAATTATGTGCAGTTATCTTGAATAAATGTCATTATCTGGACCTAGAATGAACTAGGCTTAATGTGTAAAGAACGAGACCTCGGTTCAATGATGGAGCACATACTTATACATAGAAAGCATTATATTCAATCTCTAGCATCTTCAGGTAAAGTTGGAAAAGACTCCTTTTTGAAAGATTAGTGAGTTACTGTTAGTATAGTCAGTACTGAGCTACATGGACCATAGATCTGACTTGATGTAAGGTAGTCCTCTATGCGCCTATACATCTGTTTCTATAAGAGATCAATGATATTATTATACAATACAACTGAAAAAAACTTTGGTCATCTGATGTCTGAAACTGGACTTTTGAAGGTACAGTCCATGGCATTACTATGTTACATCCAATTTACAGGAGAGGATTTCTATTTGTACAATGGGACTTCCCCTGGACTTTGCCGCATGTATTCTGCAGATCTCTTCCAGGTTCCTCCAATTCTCTGGAGTAGTTTTGGGAAGGGGAAGAGGAATGGGAGCAGAATAATCTGTTTTATTATGGATGCTATTCCTTCACTATAATAGTTCTTTTGGATGAAACCTGTGTAACGTGTCTTTCAATGGTTAGGTTAGTTTCAGTCATTATATAAGATTGATGCTCAACAATAATGTTGTGGAAATCTTGACAAATGAAAAGAGCAAATGATATTTAAATTTGGGGGTTTGGGGAGGGGGTGCCAGGTGAATAAATCTTATTGTATGTATTTTTTTCATTCTGGCTATATTGTTTTCATTCTGGTTGTATGTATATATATATTTTTATAAACTGTATAAAAATACAGAGTGAATGTATGATGTAGTGCCTCATTAAATTTATTACAATGTGCCTTTATTGTTATGATGCTCTTAGAATAGCAAGGGAGAATTGCAAATACTGAAAAAAATGTGGTCATACTGTGAAAGTCACAGAAGTGTTACAACTACTGGGAACATTATTGGTGGCTGTATGGTTTCAATATTTAAAAGTGATTCTGCTAACTTTTGTGGTTGCAAATAAAGCTATTTAATATTTGTTCCTTTTGCAGTTTCATCGTTGGAAATGTAGAACAAAAATAACATAATTTATTTATTTATATTTCAAATTTGGTTACTGCCCATTTCACTAGAGAGTGACTCTGTTTTATACTATTATGTTTATTTTATGTTTATGTTTATTTTATTTTATTTATATTTATTTTATATTATTTTATACTATTATGTTCCACCAGACTTAGGTAGAACTGTTGATCACCTGTTACTGAATTTCTTTTTCTATACTTTCCTGACTCAACTGGATACCTTTAACAGCATCTGAAGAACTGGGATGTCCTGGACACTGACAGGAAATTTTGGAGTACATATTTTCAGACCGCAGTTGAATCTTATGTTAATAAATGCTCTTTCATACATTCTTTGAACAAAGAATATCCTCTGCATTATATTAGAGAAAAAGATTCTAGTCTAGCATTTTCTCTAAGCTTCCAATTTTCCATGTACAGGGAAAGATTTCAGATAGAGCATTTCATAAAACTTGGCTGAATGCCACCCACTACCACTTTCAAAGGTAGTAAGAGTTTCTTGAGATTTATTTGTTTGTTTTCAGGATGCAAGTGTGAGTAAGAAAGTTGTCTTATGTTTTGGAGGTGATTGATTGATATTTTCTTTTCTTGCTTATTGCTTTGTCTCAATTTATGAGGGTTCACATTCTTGTAATTTCTTTCCAAGTGTGGTGATCAAGTGCTCATCCTTGAAAAATGAGGCAGGAAGTAGGAAAGCCTGTGCTGTTGTAAGTGAAAAACTTAAAAATAAAACTACACAAGAAAATAAAAGAATAATCTCAATGGGAAAAATCTAAGGCTACATCTCCTTACCACTAGAAAATTTTGTACTTTCTTTAATTCATTCCCAATCCATCAAAAACAGATTGAATTAGGACAAACTGAATTAGGAAAGTGAATAATTAAGATCAGAATTGTATAGTTATGTGTCAGATACCTCACATCCTACAACAAAGACTAACTGAACAAGTTTACTCACTTTCACCTAGTAGATCAAATCTAATGCACATGCAGTTCTCTTATAATCTGGGCTTTAGTGAACCAGGTCATGGAATACCTGTCTACTTTGAATGAGTGAACTTTATGTATAAACTCTGAGGAATCCTGGAGATCTGCTGAAGTGCCAGATGCCTGGAGGAAACCAAATTTTGTTCTTATCTTCAAAAAGGAAAAACAAAGATTCAGCAAATTACAGTTCAGAAGAAGTATCTGATCTGCCACAAGAATCAGTCCTGGAACCTTTACTCCTCAGTTTGTTTTTTTAACCAATGACTTGAAGGAAAAGTGAAGGAAATGCTTACAAAATTGCTGATGACCAAAAAAAAAAATTTAAAAAATGGATGCAATAACCCTAGAAGACAAAAATAGAATTAAATCTTACTAAGTTAGGAAAATGAACTAAATGTGACAGAATTGGAATATAATAGAGACAATTGCAGTGTTTTTCACTTAGGAAACAGATGAACAGGTATAAGATGTGGAATATCTGGTTTGGTAATAGTATTTGTGAAAAAGGTAGAAACTGATTGCAAACTGAATATGAGCCACCAGTATGATGAGGCTATAAAAATAAGTGCAATTTTAGACTACACCAAGAGAAGTATAGTTTCTAAATCATGGGGAGTAAACATTATCTAATTTTGCTTTGATCAAATGCCACATCAAGTTTGGTGTCCATTTTTTGGCATGACATTTTAAGAGGGATTCAAAGACATTAGAACAGGTTCAGAAAGAGTAAACAGGATGATCGGGATGCTAAAAATAAAGTCTTATGAAGAAAAATGGAAGAAGTTAAATATTTACCCATGATAGACTATGATAGT